AGCTCAGCACTCGTCTGTACCTTAAACCTGCAGGAAGTATCTTAGATCAGAAATCCCTGCTCGGCTGCACACTCCGAGTGGACGTGGAATGGAGTGTTGTAGCCCGGCGAGTGGGATCTTGTTGTGCTCCTGGGTGGCGCGCGCTGGATCAGCTGCCCTGAAAGGACTGGAGATGAGGGAGCAGGTCTGGGGAGATGCCAGGAGGCACTGGCTCCGGGGCCGAGAGCTCTGGAAGAGACTCAGTGTGAAGACTGAGTGTTTCATCGCCGGAGAGGCAGAATGACAAACCTGGCTTTCCTGTTTTACTGAGCAGTAAACTGTCTGTTATCATTATTTACTGGAGATGCGAGACTCACATAAAACGGCAGCTTTGAGGGATTTACCCATAAAAAAGAAAGACTCACAGAGCTGTGGGTTATTTATAGAAGGAATTCATCTAAAATTGACCAGCAGCGCAGCATGACAATAATCTCCCATGCAGCCTGAGCTCTTAACCCCTTCACGGCCAGGCGTGCTGCAGGGGGCCTGTGGCGATCTGAGCGCACCTCGCTCTCGCGCTGGACTGGACTGTGTGAGGAGCACAGTGCTGTTACTGTGTTGAGACTTTAAAGCCTACATGTGTGGGGGGTGGCATGAAACCAAGGTATTGTTTTGGAAAGACCTACAGTGTTGCCTGAACACTAGACTACAGGGAGCTTCTAAAAATAACTAGCCTGCTGGGACAGATGCCTGGCAAAAACTTCACATTGCAGAGCAGTGAAAATTGGTGACAATTTTAGCGAATCAAAGAGGTACCAGTATTCCTCCAATAATACACGCCAGAGGGCGCTATACCAACATATTATGGCCACTGTTCATCTTACAACGGCCGCAGTCGCCCCCTGGTGGAGACTCAGAAGACTGGTGTCTACTGGGGTGCTCTGTTCTTGCCCTTGAGAAGGTGAATCTCAGCTGCCAGAACCTGCGCCTCGTTCTTCACAATGCAATACCTGTGCATGAGTGACAGATTGACTGAATAAGCAGCCTCTGTATGTGTGAGAGTGAGGCAGTGAGAGAGAGAGCCCTCCGAGCCAGCTGGTCCTGAGGCTCCCCGGCCCGAGCCACACCGACACCAGCCAGCCTCAGCACTGCTAGAGCACCACAACTGCAAAGGAGGGGCCAGTCAGGTTTTTTGTGAAGCGATTCGAGTGGGGAGCAAAACAGGGCCTGTCACACCAGTGAATTTATAATTGACTCAATAACAGGATTAATTCAAGCTGTGTGACTCCTTTCAGATTTTTAACCTATTGAAGGCAGCTAACTGTTGGATTTCCTAACTAAAATCAAATCTCAAGCTCTAGAGTCAAAAATGTACTTGCAAATGTCCCAGTCAAGGAGCTTATTCCTGAAATCCAGCAGGACCAGGATGGGCTCCCCTGCTGTAAAGGGACTAGTGCAGGTGAAACCCAACTGGAAAATTAGAAAGGAAAACACGGCATTTCAGCAGCTGGTTCTCCTTCAGAAGATGAACTTATTCCCCCGAAACGTGAGCATGGGATTCACCCGTGCCTGCTCCTTCCTACTGTGTACATATCTGTGTGCACAGTGCTTCTCACAACGCCTGCCCGAGCAGGCTGCTTTTCTCACATGTGCTCTGCAGATAAACACGTACCAGCTCGTAAACTCCTGGGTGGTAGCGCCTGTCTGCAAAATTAGCTCAGTGTCAGCACTGTAATTATCGAACAAAAAATTCCCAGTTTCTTGAAAGGAAGTTTAATGGCAGTGTGTCATTAAATGCAATTACAGAAAAACAAAACACAGGTAGCGGACAGAAAATTGGAACCTCCTGGGGGAATGAGGAGCAGCCAGGACACGGGGCTTCCGCACAGCAGAGAGCGGCTCTGTATGCTTAGGGGCACGTGGAAGAATAGACAGGCCAGTTCCTACAGTTACAGCTGCGAGAGGAGACCGCAGTGACTTTGTAAGCGGGGTGAATTTGGGGGAGCGAAGGGAAAGAGCTTCAGGGATCAAGGCGACTCAACTTGCTGATGTTTGATGACATGATGTCATGATGATGTCAGCTTGGAACTCCAAGGGAGTGACATCATCAGCACAAGGACAACAGTGGGCAGAAGCATAAACACACCGTGGCGTCCACGTCACGGTCAAGAGCGCTTCGCTGCAATGCGCATCTAACGTCTGGATGTGTGTGTCGACATTATTACACCTACATGTGAATCCAGATTCAGCCCTGCTGGGGATGAAGGTCTCTGACAGAGAACTGGCCAGTGTTGTAAAAATGGCCCAAAACAGAAAAATAGCTTACTGAGCTACAGCTGAAAAAGGAGATTGGGATCAGCAAGAGAGACAGAAAAGAACATTACAGTGGAGGCTAAAAATAATACACAATGCTAAAAGCTGAAGTTAACATGCAAAAACACCACAGATGCTAGTTTTTAATGTCTTTGAGTATAGTTTATGTGATTACATGAGATCAAGGCTGAAGATTAGAAAGAAACTGTGAATGTGCAAAATGAATCCTCCACACAGGTGTTCACAGTAGAACACATCAATAGCGTTCTTGTTAAAGAAGGACTCCATCACTACAGGGATATTTTAATGTATCACTGAGACACAGGGGCTCTACAGGGGCTAAGGCAGCTAAACACTAAGAAATCATCAGGGTCTGCTGGTGTTGAGAGATGTAACTCATAGACAGTTCATAGATGGAGCTCTGGATCGGAATATCCACACTGATACGGGGCCTGAGGACACTGCTGTCGCGCGAGATGTTAAATTGAGGTCTTGGCTACTTGCTCATTAAAGTTCCTAGGGGGGTGTGCAGGAGGAGTGGTGTGCCTGCTGTCCTGGCTCGTGTCCACTCTGACCCTGCAGAAACAGCCTCCCAAAATCTCCTTCCTCTTCCTTCGGTTTTGTTTCAAAACAAAGCACTTTCATTCACAGCAACCTTTCTCACTCGCGCAGTGCACGGAAATCTTATGTAAAAGGCATTGCATAACACAATCATTCCAGAAACAGAAACTCCGGCTTCATCCAGCTGGAGTGTAAGACTGTGGGTCCAAGACAAAACTTTGCAGAAAAAGTAAAAATGTAACCAACACTGAGGATCACGAGGGCAGACGATTTTGTCTCTCTTCACAACAAAAAACAGTGGCTCGGCTCCTGGAGCTCTGTTCTCATCCTTAGAAAGTCCGGATCTGAGCCTTGCATCGCAGTACCTGCGGGCTCCGGGCTTTTCTTGGCCAGTGACCACAGGCACTGAACCGGCTCGCAGGGGCAACAGGGAGACACCAGCGTCTTGTTCCCTGGGGACTTGTGAACTCCCTCCCCAGCCCTGCAGTGAGGAAGCTCAGCTGACCTTGACCAGACACCTGACCTCTGCCCTGGGCAGAGCTGCTCCAGTATCAGGACAAATAGGGGTAGAGCAATTCCAATATTCAATTCCAATAGACAGAGGAGGGCAGAGCTGCTCCACATTCAAGACAGAAGGGGGCGGGGCTGCTGCAGATTCAGGACAGAGGGGGGCGGAGCTGCTCCAGATTCAGGACAGAAGGGGGCGGAGCTGCACATGTGCAGATGGGCAGAGAGGGTGATCCTGGTCCTGGGTGAGCTTCCTGGAGTCTCTACAGCCCTGCTGGCTGTGAGGGGACAGGACCTCTGAAAGGATCTCTGCTGTCATCAACTCATGGAACTCATAATCATTGTGAGACAAAACCTCCATCAAAATCAAATAACTTTGAATGTAATTTAGAAAACTTCTCCCTCCTTGTCAGCCATGTTGGTTCAGGAGGCCATGGAAGTGTGTCTGACACGGATCTGACAAGACCATCAGAAACACACAGGTCACGTCTCCTGTGAGAACAGCATCTTTAGCCTTCCAGGATATCCCACGCCTAGCTAATAGTCTTCACCAGACTGCAGGAAGGCAGTTTCCAGACTGATATTCTCATATTAATTCATAATTAGTCATTTCATGTACATACTGCAGAGATTTTCATCCTACGGGATCCCACAGCACCGCACACACAGGAAGAGTCCTGCGAGAACAGGTCACAGGTGAGAGGAATCATCCTTCCCGTTTCTTCATTAGTAACTGATTGCTCTGAGGACAGGCTATCGGCTTCAGGAAAACAGGACTGGACAGGACATACAGGACTGGACAGGAGATATACAGTAAATGCAGCACCTGGGACACAGATGTCAGCCATTGTACAAGGATGGGCTGGAAGGCGGAAACGTTGCAGTTATCTTGTGCAGTTTGGTGGGTCTGAAGCAGCAGGAATGAAGGAGAGTTGTTATAAGCATAAAGTGACAGTGCTATCTTACAGGTCTAATAACACACCTCTTACCTGATATATAATGAAACACCTGCTGCACAGGTGTATACACAGTTAAATAAGGCCCTCGGTCCTCCAGCTCCATCAGGCAGGATTCTTGTCTTAACGAGGCTGATTCTGCAGAAGCAGCAGAGGTCAAGGTGACTGAAACCACTACAAAACTCTCTGTTAGAAGCCGTCAAGAATCCTGTTCAATTACAGCCATGAGACTTGCTTCACGACAGAAGGTCCCGCATTTGGTCACGACTTTACACAAAGGGCGGTGGGAGTGTGGAACAAGCCGCCCAGCCAACCTCTTGAAACCGATACCCTGATTTCTTTCAAGAAACAGCTGGATGAGATGCACAGATCAATCACCTGCGAACTACTCGACAGTGACTGGTCTGCGACATTCCCGTGTTCTTGTCTTTGACAGCCGTTATGACGGGGCACAGACAATAAGGACAGAAGACCTCGGGGGTCTCCTACGAAATCTCTCTGCTTGTATAAGACTGCGCTCTGAGGGGACGATCACGATTTTAAATCAGAGGGACTCTTTCGGAGGAAAACCGAGCCGGCGCTCGTCAGGTGAGCATCTTTCTTGATATTTCAGATTAAACAGGAGCCTCCATTTCACGAGCGATCGCATTCATTTTCTCTGATTTTGCCCACAGTCCCGCGTGCTCTTGAGGCTTGAAGAAACGAAACGTGTACAGGCAGAGAAGAGGGAGAATCAATCGATCCGATAATCCATCGATCCCCGTGAAGGATTATTCACAGACCCACAGAACACAGCCGTGCATGAACTCCCACGTCAACTGCTCTCAATCACCAGCGCCTTACCCCCCTCCCCCGTCCTGCGTTAATTGGATCATCCCGAGCGCCTCAGCCCTTTGATTTCCAGTGGCGTCCCGGGCCCCCGGCACGTACCACTTCCCAGGCCGGGTGCGACGCAGGGGTGGCGAGGTGAGGAGGGCAGGGAGAGGCATCGCGCGGCTTGAATGAAGTGATGAAGGAATGGGGGGGGGTGACTGCTGTAGATTCATAAGCCCCCGCCTCCCCCTCCTTCCCTCCCCCTCTCTCTCTCCACCTCCGAGGCTCAAACGCTGCTGAGCTCGTTATTAGCGGTCCGGACTCCGGCGGAGACGCACGGCTCAGCCCAGGACGGAATAGCGGGACAGGACCCGCCGCACCTGCGCGGAGAGTTTCGCTGCCAGACCTCGGCTTCGCTTCGGGCGGGAAGAAAACGGGCTGCATCTCGAATCGAAGAGCTCCCCAAGGCACGCATAGATCGAGTAATCAGGTGAACGATTCAGGTTCGAATTCTGAAATGAAAATAAATAAACCGACCAATTAGCAAGTAGCGTTTCGAACAACCGGGTGCTGCAGGTTCTGAATCATAAGAGAAACGCGCAGACCCCGTGCACGCCAGATACTGGGAAGGACCTGACGCTGAAGACCGCTGTGTGTGAAGATGCTTTTGGAGGACGGGAAAGCATAAGACTGCCTCTGCGGTGAACACAGCACGGCGATCCCTCACACCCCCCGATTTCTTTTGAAGATTATCAGAAAAAAATCGCACCCGCATTGAAGAAGAGCGTGTTTTTTTCTGCCGCTTGTTACAGAGCCGAGAGCGAGCAGACGGACGGACCGACAGCGCGCCGCAGAGCCGGACCGTCACGACCGACAGCGAGCTGCTGCGCCGCTTGGGTCTCCAGAGCTGACCTGCGGCTCGGCTGCTGTCGCGGGCTGCCCTTCCGCCTGGCCAGCCGGCGTGCCGGAGAGGAGCCGCCACCTCGCCCCCGCCCTTGCCCCCACGCCAGTCGCCTTCGGACCCGACACCGCGCGTCGCGCCCCGCGGAAGGATACATTTTTTCCAATAGAAAGCAAAGAAACGTCACATCTGTCAAACGCAGCCCCGGTCTGCCACGATGAATTACTTGCGTCGTCGACTGTCGGACAGCAATTTCATGTCCAACCTGCCGAACGGCTACATGAGCGACCTGCAGCGGCCCGACCCTCCGCAGCCCAGCCCGGCGGTGTCGCCCGGGCCGCCCGAGAGGCGCCAGTCTTCCAGCCAGTCCGCCGGCTCCGGCTTCTTCTCCTCCATCTCCAACGCCGTCAAACAGACCACGGCGGCCGCGGCGGCGACCTTCAGCGAGGCGACGGACCGAGCCACCGGACCGTCGAGGGCCAAGATCCTGCTGGTCATTGACGACCAACAGACGGACTGGTAAGGCGCTGCGGCTGAAAGGGCAAATGTCGTTGCGTGAAAATGAGGGCATGCGTTCTGTTACAACCCAGAGCAGAGGGGATTCGGCGTGGAGGGACTCTGCGGTCCTGTAAACACGCTGCAGCCTCACCCCCGCCATGACGGGGGTGTATCTGTACCGAGAGAGGCGAGTGCTGGAGCTGGGAATGGGGCATCTCTTAGTCTCGGGGTCGTCAGGCAGGGAAAAAAACGAGCCGAACGGGGGAGAAGCCCAGGGCACAGTTTTCACAGAAACTGCTTTTAGACTGAAGGTGCACCTGCGAAGTGGTGGTCACAGGATCAGATTAAGCAGGAATATCCTCCTGCTCCTCTGGTGCTGTGGTCTCGGCGTGTCGGTGGTCTCTCTCGGAGGCGCCAGGTAAGCAGCTGGTTCTCAGGCTCGCCTCTCTTCCGGGACGGTTTGCCCGGAGCTGTTTCCCAGCGTGCCTGACCGCTCCGGCCTGCCGCTCTCCTGGGATCGCACCGGGTCAGGGCCCGGGGGCCCGGCCTGAGCGGCTCTGCGTGAGTCCCGCCTGCAGGTGGCGCTGCTGATGAAGAGCGGCTCGGTGCAGCCAAGCCCTCTTCAGCACAGGGTGCCCTGAGCCTGAGCCTGAGCCCTGGCCAGAGCGCTGGAGTCATCACACCAGCAGGGCCGGGAGGACTGCAGGCTGTGTGGCTTCACTGGTGCGTTACTGACCTCCCGGACACGTTCTGCGTGATGCCTGGCTGTTGGTGCAGTACCGCTTGCACAGAGCTCTTCAGGGGAACGTCCTGTTGGCGAGCGCAGGGCTGAGATGAAACCCACTGGTTAAAACGGGTCACCTGAAGCCGGTTTGAAATGATGAGCCTTGGGTCTTGATTCATGCAGTGACTGATGACTGAGGAACTGAGGGATTGGCCGGCTGCAGTCTGCACTGATGTAACACCAGGACACCAACATGCTGAAGCAAAGAAAAGCTAATAGATAGGAGGGCTGCGGGGAAGCAGTTGAGAGTTGCACCGTGTTCTCTTTTCCATGCTGGTGCTAGTGCAACGTTAATGTACTTCCATGCGTTTCCTCTCGTGAACTTGTTTAGGGGCAACTCATGACGCAGCTCTGTTCCGGCACTGTTAGCTTGTTATCATGCAGGTGGAATTGGCACAGGGTCATCAGAGAGGACACGCGCAGCGTGGTACAATCTAGCAGGTCAGGAATGAAGCCTGACAGTAGCGCAGGCGGCAGAAAGCAGCTCCTCTCAGGAGGAGGAGAATTAAGCCCAGCAATGGAGTGCATTGTGAGATTCACAGTTGTCTGCCCCCAGGCCAGTGGAGTTGCATTACAGAAAGAATCCAATAACTGTCTTTATTGTCGCTGGAACAGAACTGTCCCCAGAGGCACTGATAAATGAATTTACCCAAATGACACTGGCCGCTGTTAAAGAAATCCTCTGACTGTCAAAACCCGTCACTTATCTGATGGCTGTACTTATGCAGCAGCCAAAGGACGTGACTTCAGGAATCTGGAGACGCTGGCCGAGGAGCTGACTGAGGCAGTGAGGCTGTGTGTGTTTCTTTCTGCTGCTTGGGTGACGCAGCCCCGGACATGGAGTGATCTTAAAATGAGAAACGCGGTGTCATTTCCTCAAGAGTCGTAAAATGAAAGTTTGTTCCACGGCTGTGAGTCTAAAATCTTATATAGTATTGATTGAGCACTTTCGCAAATGAGTTGTGAGTCTGAGTGGAGCTGGGTGGTTTAGCGTGGTCGATCTCCAGTGAGGATCGATCGCAGCTGCGCTCGTCTGTGCAAGAGCCCGGAGATCATCGGGAATCGGTAATCCCTGCAGAGCTGTGCTGGTGGAAGGGTGCCCAGGCACGTCAGGGTTAATGACGCTTCTACTAGCAGATCAAGAAAATTTTGTGTTTTTTTTCCAAGTTCCAGCAAAATTGCACGACTGCCCATAACAACAGCAGTTCACTGCATCAGGGGCTGCACATATCTGAATTACCCAGCAGTCTCAAGGCAATCGCAAGGCCACTGGCCTGACAGTTCTGTCCTTCCTGCTGCAGAGAGCGCAGGGTGCGAATGCTTTAGGGAAACACGGCCTGCCTGGGAGAGCTGGGTGAATCATGCCTGCTGGTATCAGGGGGTCGCGTGGCCTGAGTGCACTGCCTTCTGCATGTGTATGAGTCAGCAGTCCGAGTGGGCATGGCTGACATATCCAGAACAACAGAAGAAAATTAAGGTCATCGATCTTTTTTGTTACTGTTTCCAGCTTGGATTGTAGCATTGCAGGACAAATACTTTTTTTTTAAATTTAAAAAGCTTTTCAGCCCATCACCGAACATATTGTAAATCTTCATTGCTGGGTGTTCACAAACACTGCCAAGAGCACTTCGGTATGATGGAAGAGAGTGTCGATTTATGAAATCACCACACTGTTTCAGTCCGTTTTAATTAGTTGTTCTGATGGAATCCAATTTGCTGTCACGGTAACCCCCTGGAGTCTTCGCAAAATAGGCCAGTTATTAACTGACTCTACAGTGGGGCTGAATATGAGAAGTCAGTCTTCAACTAGAAGGAGTTAAAGTGATGAAAGGCACAGCGCCTCTCGGGGGCTCGCTGTTGGAGCAGGGGTCCGCAGGCGTCCTGCAGTGATTTAGCTCACAGTCAGGCCAGCAGAATCGGCTCTGAACATGGCGATGCAGAAGCTCGCGGCGCCCTCTAGGGGGCGTTGGTCTGCACTGTGAGGTGGAACCTCTCTCAGCTAAGATGAGTCAGAAAGTTAGAGTCCCCGTCTGCTGTAAGTTAATGGTTTGAACAGCTTCATACCTTTAGGTGTTCTAATAATTATGTATGCACCAGCGTGACTGTATTACCTAAAGTAATTTAAACCTGGGAGCCAGAAATAACCCGATGCTCTGTTGCTCTCTGGAGAGACAGCGTGTGTCTGGACTGCAGAACGGCAGGAGGGGGCTGGGGCCGCATGGGGCCACTGTGGTGAGCACGGTTGTCTCGCGGCTCATGGTTCGAAAAGGAGCCGGTCTGTGTGGAGCTTGCATGTTCTCTGCGTGCTCACTATGTTTTCTGCAGTCGCTGCTGCTTCCTCCTCCATCTGCAGATGTGCAGAGCAGGTCTGCCTGGCTGGCGGCTGGAATGTATCCTTACCGGGGGTCCATCCTTATCAGGACCCCAAGAGAAGGGGAGCTGGGCCCCCCAGACCTTTGCTCTTCCCCCAGCTGGAGCTGCTCAGCTGCCCTTCTGCCCTACAGTGGGGCAGTTGGATGCCTGATCTTAATATCCTGTATTTCCAAGCCTACATTCAGCAGCAGGCAGTGCTGATTAGGGCTGTGTGTGATATCTGCCGTGGCTTCAAGTATGAAGAGTGATTTCAAGGTGGCTCTGAAGAGTCGGGGTGAGGGAGAGGGGGGGAGGAAACGCGGAGGCCAGGAGGGGGTCAAACCATGGCCGGAAACAAGGAATTCAATTGTGACCTTTTTCCTCCGGTCTCACTGTTGGCAGTAAAATGTCTAAAGGGGGAGAGGAGCAAAGTCTGACAGGATCTTCTCAAAATGGCGGCATGATGTGTGAGGTTACTGGAGTGTTAAATTCCCTAAGACCTTTATTTTTGTACAGCGCCCTTCGTGATAAGCGCTTTGATAGGCCACCTTTAATGGTGCTATATAAAATAAAGTTTTTTATTATTATTATTAGAGTGCTGATCGAGAAGTAAAGAGAAAAGCAGTAGGGCTTGAGAATGCGATCTACTCCTGGTAATTACCAGCTACACAGCAATGCAGGAGGAGTAGGATGAAG